CGGGTGCGCCGGGATCCTGGTGTTCCGAAGCGCCATCTCCCTTTGCCCTCCTTCCCTCGGGGCCCGTGAGGTGTTTGTGTTGTGCTCGCCCCAAAATCCCGGCTGGGATCGCTGCCGTTCCTCACACGCGCGGCTGTTCTGCCTCGGAGTTAAGGCAGAGCCACAGCTGTGCTTGGCACCGAAACAGACCCCGAACTTGTTCTTTGCTTGCACTCCGCTGTACTCTGGTTAATGTTTGGTTTTTCTGATACACTTCAGTAATCTGGGAGAGATTTAGGCAGGTGAGTAGGTGCAGGACTTTCATTAACAATTAATACTAACATCTGCCCGAGAAAGAAGTAGCCTCTCAGGAAAGAGAAGTGCTTCAAAAGTTACAGAAGTTACACAGCAGACACAGACCCCAGTCTTTGAGCCGAACCCTGAGGCTATAGATTGATTTTCCTGTTGATAACGTAAAGCTTGTTTTCCTGTAATAAGGTATTAGTGGTTATTTTCAGTTTGAATAGTGGGGTTGCCAGACTTCACAGATAGATAACTTGATTGAAGAAAGTCTGAGAACTCGGGAAATAAGCTCAAAATGGATTATAACTGGGCAAACTGTGCCTTTATTACACTGCATGCATCTAACCATCCATTTCAAAAGCTTTTTAAAGATATAACTTAAAGCTTTTAATAAAGCATTTAAAGCCTTCTGTCTTCTATCTACAGCCATGAAAATTACTCATTCTTTTGCTAACAAAATGGACTTTCTGAAAGTTGGAATTTTTTCCTATGCTATTTCTTTCTACTTGCATGCTATCACTCCTACCTTGCTTTCCAGATAGAAACTTACTATATGGAATCAAAGCTTGAAACTAGAGGAAGATTTATTCTGTTTCAAATCATTTGTCTGCTGGAGTGGGGCGTTCTTGATATATAACATCCTAAGGGAAAGCTATGGTCATTGTTTAAACAGTTTTTCCTGGGTGCTCAGCAGCACTGAAACAAAATCTTGAAGTTAATTATTAGCTCAGTGTCCTTTTGGGATGGTTAAATTGATACTTGGGTTTATGAAGTGGCTTTGTTATTAGATGTGCCAGGTGTTCCAGTTCTGACTTTTTCTAAAGTGCTTAATCAAGACTGCATTCCTGTTTATTATTTTCTGTGTTTTGTTGTCATACTTGTAAATTATCATTGTTCTGTGTGCCTTCTGTGTGGTGATTGGGGTTTTTTTCTTATTTTAGGGTATGCTGTTCCTCCACCGACATCACAGCCAAACTACTCGAGCACGTACACCATCATCCAGCAGCCTGCCACCACCACCTCTGTGGTAGTCGTTGGTGGCTGTCCTGCCTGCAGGTAAAATGGCTCTTGAGGAATTAAAATCAGTCTTGGGTTTTGTTATTTAAGATAGAGGTATCCATATGGTTCCTTGGTCTTCAGTAGCCTTTCTTTGTGTGTATTACAATTAACTGAAAAGGCACTGAGATCCAGGAGTGGAATGCTTTGGTTTGTGCAGTGTGAGCTTGTCCTGGTGGGCTCGTGACATGGGCTATAAATAATGCAAGACTTCAAACATGAGTTTGTTCTTTAAGATGGAGGAAGATCCGTAAGTGATACTTTTAACAAAATGGCACTTCAGTAACAGATGTAACAGGTCAGTTCTTGGGGGAAAGCGTGACAGGAAGTCCTTTCTGCTGTGTTTATGCCTGGTGATGGTGAGTAGTATGATTTTATTGTGAAACTCTGTCATCTTTGATCATAGTCACTTCTGGTTTTCTGGCAGTACTGTGGAAGAACTTCTGCTGTTGTGGTGTGTGTTCCATTCCCAGTCCAAACTTTGCAAAACCAGGCAGAGTGATTGTCAGTATTGGCTGAAAGCTTTAAAAGGTCTCTAAAAGTCCTTTAACTGCAGAAGAGCAGAGAAATTGATAGACCAGACCAAAAATGTCAGTCTGCTGCAGTGGTGAAAACCAGAAAAAAGTGGTCAGCTGTTACATGGAGTTGCAGCAAGAGAACAACTTCCCCCTTGGAGATCACAGCCATAAAAAAGGAAGGAGGCACTCAGTTTGCTCACTAGTGCTGTAAGTCAGCTGTAGTCCCTTTCACTTCTCAGTTCTCCTCTTCCTGGGGTATTGGCCATGGCTGAGGGCAGAGGGATTGCTGCTGGTGCAGCTCAAGCACAGCTGTGACTCAAATGCAGGCTCATCCCCTCTGCTAAAGTGTACAGGAGTTACCCTTGCAAGGAGGCACTTGATCCTCTGCAGGTCTGAGCCCTTCCTTGCCTTTCAGAAGGTGCAGGGAACCTGCCTGAGTAGCTGAAGGGATTCCAGTGTGGTGTGTGAGCAGTGTGACAGAGGATGTCATATGGCACAGGCTGTAACCCAAGTGGTAAAGCTGCTGTTTGTCTGAGAGTCAGTACCTGCCTTCAAAGGTGGATTCAAATAAGAAGCATCCTGTGGTGTTATGTAAAAACGGGTGCCTGTTGAAATGGCACTAGTTAAGGCTGAAAAACCTGTACCAGCTGGAGCTATTGATCTAGGAGGTGTGTGTTTTACACTGGGGGAAAGCAAGTGCTGAGCTGTTCAGAGGATGTGGTAGATCCTGCCACCTGAGTGATTGCATCACCATGCTGATGCTGTAGCTCAGCCCGGAGAAGGGCAGATGTTGTGCATGGCTTGGAGAGAGGCAGGCAGGGTATTTATACACACAGGTTTTCTGGCCCTGACCCCAGGACAGCTCAAAGCATTTCACTGGGGAACTGCTTTTGGAAATAGCTTAAAATGGGTAGGCTCTTGTTGCTATAATTTTTTCTTTTTCTGGAAGTCCATAGAATATGCTCAGTTGGGAGGGACCCATCAGGATCATGTAATTCAACTCCTGGCCCTGCACAGGACACTCCAAGAATCCCACTGTGAGCCTGAGAGTTGTCCAAACACTTGCTGAACTCAGACAAGCTTGAGGCTCCTGGGATGGTCCAGGAAAGACTTCTTAAACAATCATTTGCACATATTATATATAACTTTGGCCAAATTTTTGAAAATGAGCAGTCTGTTGTTAGTTGTTTTTAACTGATCTCACTTGAGTAGCTTTCTTAAGTCATCAGCTATGCCCAGGTGGAAGTACCCATTGTGGACTCTTTTCTAAAGCAAAATACTCTCTACAAAATCCTAGTTTACTCTTGAATCCTTTGTTTCTGTTTTAGGCTTTGAAAAAAATAAATTGTGAGGAGAACTGTGAAATATTCTGGATCAGGGAATCCCAAGGATGAGTAACTGTATCTAGTCATGGTGTGTCAGTCTCCTTTGCTCTATTACAATGTTAGTTCCTAATTATCCTGATTGAGAAAAATCTCAATCCTCTTTGACTTCTCAAGACCTTAAACACAGTTCTAGTTTACTTTCATGTCCTGGAAACCTATTTTATGATGAATGCAATGTGCAGCTACACTCTGAATACTGCCCTGAACAGAAAAGATGTTGAAGGGGCATTGAGAAATATTAAAAGCAATTAATGGTACATAAAAAACTTTGTTAATAAACTGCCAGGTTGTAGGGGGGTAGAATATAAGAAAACAAAGATAGTGTGGAAAGTAATCTCACCCCTAAGGAGTTGCAGCTGGGCCAATTATCAAAGATCAGGAACAGGTGTGAGTTTACCAGGCCACAGCTGTAAGCAATGAGAAGAAGATGCTATAAAAGAGTGGGGTGCCTGGGTGAGAAGGGAACTGGAGTTGGTTGGTTACTTTGTGGAGAAGAAAGAGTCAGTGCTCTGAGGAGCTGCCCATGAGGAAACACCAGAAGGTATGGAACTTTGTGGTAAGGAGACAACAGCATGGAACCCCTGCAATAAGATGACAACACCAGGTCAGTTGTCCTGGTACTTTCCTGATTTGATGGTGCATGAATGTTAGAGATGTCCATGTGCTTTAGATCACCAGGAGGAGCCTTGTGTGTGGCTGTGGGATGATTTAACTCATGGAGGAACCTAAAGGCCATCGAAAGGATTTCTGCCATCAGAAATACAAAGCAGTCTGTTGCCCTATGTATTTGTGGTGCTGATTAAAATCAAAACTATTTCCAGCTTAAAATATGTGGTCTTGAGGAGAAATATGCAGTACTGGTTTCCTATTTGAATTGGTGTCTGTTTTACTGCAGTCACGAGTGCTCTTGCAGTTAATAAGCTGGCTCCAGTACAGTCCATCTTTAGGCTTTTTTTATGGTATTTAGTCATAAAAAGTACAAAGTTTCTCCAGCAGTAGCCTCTCTGAAGTTGGTAATATGCCTGTGGTGACTGGTAATTGCATTCCTGCCCTTCTCCCTCTGAAGCACTGCTGCCATCTGAGGGATGACTCTCCTGGCTCTTGCTTGGAGCTGTTCCTCACGTTGAGCTCATTCATCACTGGTCAGTGTTGCTTTTTCGTTACAGACCCCGGTTTTAATGTGCTCCATCCTTCCCTGCACTCTCAGAATGGCTTTGGTGGTTGTGTTCTGTTTTCTCAGTGTGTGTTCTCCCTGCCCTGATGTACAGGGAATTAAACTGAGTTGCACAATCTTGTCAGCTTTATGGCTTCTAGTTGACATTTAAGGTTTAGCCAAGTCCTGCTTTTAAACTATTTTATGTTCCTGAGTGTGAGTTGAGTCATTACGGGCACTGCCTTTAGATATCCTGCTGTGGAATTATCCTTTTAGCTTGGAGAATGCAGCCTGGCTGCTTTACTTGTGGCCACTTTCATTTTCTTTTTCTCTGTCTTTTGTTGTTGGCGATAACTAACTGCTAGGAATGTTTTCTTTCCTGTTATTTAACAGAAGAAAGTTCCTTTTAAAAACTGCAAAAACATTTTCTTGATCTGATGACTGCAAAAGCCAGTTCCCTCAAAACCTGGGGGAGAGCCTGTTGTGGGTCCTGTTAGGTTTTGATTATTTTTTTGTTCAGCTGGGAGAAAGAGCAAAGGAAAGGACCTCACACTGCTGCAGTTTTCACTTCTGCCAGCTACAGTGCATCTGCTGGACCAGCAGTGTAGTGGGTTTCAAATTATGGCAACACTGAAGCTTCTTCCTGAACTGGAAGATGAAACAAGTTTAATTAAAATTGTATTTATTCTGAGATGTCTTCCAGCATTCTCCCTGCCACAGGTGCTGTTTTGTTGTGGTGGGGTTTTTTTTAAATTTATCGGGGTTTTTTTTTTTTACTTGATAAAGCGGTAACTTCTCAGGTTTCAGTTGAAATTTTGTTTTTGTCAATTACACACATCTCCTGAGGAAATAGACTCTAGAAAAATTGCAATTAGATGATCAAGTCCTTCCAAATTTCAACCTTCTGGTCTTCCATTATTTCAGTCACAAATGATGTGTTGGCTTTGCTAAAAGGCTGCTCGGGATACAGTCTTTCTATAATTGTTTATTATTTAAACTTCATGTAAATATTCTTTAGATGTAGTGTGTAGCTGCTATAGTCCATGCTTGTCCCTGCTCTGATGTTCCCATCCAAATCTAAACTTTGAAACTCAACCAGCCTCTGTGGCAGAAGATGGGATATGATGTGAGAATTCCAGGTGGTTGGTCAGTGATCTTTGTGCAGGATAGATAGCAGTTTTCTTCTGTGCAGTTTCTTTTCATGTCTTGCAGAGCTTGTGGTACAATCAGCCTGTCTCTGATTACCTGGGGTGACCCTTTGAATGTATCTGTAAGGTCTAAAAAATGCTGATAAGCCCACATTTAAATTCTGTGATGTAGTGATAAGTCTAAAAATGCACGTGTTAAATCAGACCAATGCTGTGTTCACAGATCTCATTATCAGCCCTCTCATCCTGAGCATTTGACTTAAGATCTTAATGTGAGAGTTACTTTGAAAAAAGGGGTTATCTGAAAAACAATTTGGTTTCAAGTACTTGTCAGTGGGCATAATTGACCTTACTGTATGGAGTTGGCAGCTGCAGTCATAGCTTAAATGCAAGATGCTGCTTGCAGTATAAATAAACCTTTCCACTTTATTTTTAGAGTGGGAGTGGTGCAGTTATAATCAGCTTTTATGTGGTTTATGCTGTAGAAGAAAATTTATGTTTGGTTATGTTGGTGAATCCACAGTTTGAATATGGAGTTTCTAATTGCTCCTCATCTCAGGTAAGATATACAAGCAAAAAATATCCATAATCTCCCTTATAAAAAGTATTTTTTTTTCTTTTTAAATTTAGTAACTGGCTAAGCAGTGGTTGGGTAAGTGTTCATCTAAAATTAGGTGCTGACATAAATCAGCAGAAGCCAAGAAGTGTTTGTGTGGCTAATGCTGTAATCACTGTCAGACATGATAGGAGCTCAGAAACATCAGGTGTGGGGTCAGGCAGGCCCAGCTCTGCTGGGTGTCCCTGCAGCTGCCTTGCTCTGCTGCTGGCCTGCTGTTGAATATGAATGGCAATTTTTAAATTGTTAGTTGTCGTTTGCACTACCACTGAACACTTGGGAGTAACTCTGTTTAGGAGGAAGGGAGTTTAAAACAAATTCTGTTTAAAGTGTCAAGGACACGTGCTGACCAGTGGAATTGGGCCCTGCAAGCTGATTAAGAGGAGGTTGATTGGAAGGGGTTGGGCTGTGCCCATCACTGCTGGGGCTGACCAGCAGTACCCCACTGATCCCTCTGTGTTTGATCAGTGTGTTTATTCTTTAAGGTCACATCAATAGACTGCTTATACTCTTAACTGAGCACACTGGCTTACTTGTCACAAATGGAGGTGTCAGGGCAGGAACTGAATATGGAATTATTAAGAGACAAGGAGAGGATTTCAAAACAGCAATGAAGCAGGAGTTGGGTGCCTGCAGGAGGGAACTGCTCAGTGTGTGTGAAAGGAAAAGAAGGCATTAGTGTAACAGCAGAGCAGGAAATGCAACAGCTGTAATGTGCTGTGTGCAGGTTCCAAATAATGCTATTTGTGATGTCATTGAAATGCCTGGAAAAGGGGCTTTGCCTGTCTTGGGTTGATCTGCAATGTGAAAACTGAATCTTGAATTACTCAGAAACCTTGAGAGTATGTCTGAACCTCTCCATACATCCAGTGTGTTACTGGGTTAACCTGGGGAGAAGCAGAGGCCTCACCTCCTGAGCTTGTGCTGCTGCTTTCTGTTTGGTCTGAGGCTGGTCAGCATTTCCTGCATGTCCCAAGTGCAAATTGCCAAATTCAGCTGCTTCATCCAGACCTGATGGTTCTGGCTGGACACTGCAGTGTCCTTTTTGCCCCTGTGTCTGTTACTGGTGTGTTCCAACAGTCCTGAATTTCTTTGCATTCCAGCTCCAGTAGCAGAGGGTTCCAGGAGATGGCACTTCCTGAGCTCCAGCTCTCAGGGCAGGCACTTTGTTTTGCCACAACAATGCAAGATTACTTGAATATTGAATTGGATATCTCTGTGCCCTGAGAGATTAGAACAGTGAGAGATGAGCTCTGAAGAAGTGTTCTGCTGCAAGATGCACTCCTCATGAAGTCAGATCTGACCCTTTACCCTTTTTGCCAGAGCTGAGCCACATTTTGTAGAGTGAGTTTCAGTAGTGCAGGTACTGCTGTTCTCTCCCCAAGGCTCCACAGCCCTTCAGGAGAGCCTCCTGTTCTCTCCCCACATGGCTCGTGTTATGCTGAGTTTGTGAAAATAGCCACAATGTCCAGCACAGGCTGCCCAGCTCTGAGCTGTGGGACACTTTGTGCTGAGACTCAAATCTGTGTGGTGATATGAACTTGGTCTGTGTTTTTTAGTTGCCTTAAAAGGATGTTATCTGAGGACATGAAATGATCCAAGAGCTACTGCTGGGATCAATGGTAACCTGACAGGTCCTTTATTTTATACCAGACACAGAGTTAACTTCTATCTCTGCAAACAGAAATAAAGTGCATTAAAGTGAGGGAAAGCTTAAGGGGAATATGAACTTGTGTAAGCAGCAGAATATCAAGAACACTTGGAAAAGCCCCTGGCTCCTGCTGGTGGCTGAGGGGAGGGGGATGGTTCCCAGGGTTAATGAGGTTGCAGAGGTTCAGGCAGTTGCTGTAAGGAAATGGTCTCTTGTGCCTGCGCCTTCCTTCCTTCGCTCTATTTACACATCCCAGAGCTTGTCCCTGACTGCTCCCAGGGAACAGCAGCTTGTTGGCCTTGGCACCCTGCTCACAGCCTGCACTTCAGGGTCACTCAGCTCTGTTTGCCTTGACTTGCACTGTACCAGGAGGATACATCTTGTTCCAGTGTTTTGCTAAACTCCAAATCTTGACTATTCATGTAACTGCACAAATTTCTAAAGTCTGAATTCTCTGGTTTACTGTCTATCTTCATTTTGGGGGATGCTCAGATACAGCACTTCAGAAAGGAGTCAGGGATTGAAATGGAGGTGAATTTCTGCTGTCATAGGACTGTGCTGAAACCAAATTTCCGTGTGGTCGTGGAATTGGGAATCAGCTGGAGCCATGTGACATCAATAATCAGTTCCTCTGCAGTTGTAAAGAGAGATCAGTTTTGAGAAGTAAAAACCAGGAACAAACTCCAAACCTTGTACTTTATCTTGCTCTATTAAATGGTGTGGTTTCTCGTGACTGCCAGAGCACTGAGTGGTGATTTAAAGGCAAACTTGTTGAGTGTCCTTTGACTGAGTCTGTTTTCCCTTTTTGCAGGGTTGGCGTGTTGGAGGACACCTTCACCTGTCTTGGTGTTTTGTGTGCCATTGTATTCTTTCCAATTGGGATTCTGTTCTGCCTTGCACTGAGGCAGAGAAGATGCCCCAACTGTGGGGCAGCTTTTGGCTGAGGGGCTGAATGTGGACGTGCTTACTGAAGCTACAACTGTTAGCATACTCTTTCTAATGTAAATGTCATGTACAATCATTTTATTTGCTTCAGACCTGTTTTGTAAAGTGTGAAGGAATTTAGTCTCTTGCATGTAATTTAAACTTAATCTTTTTTGAGCATGTGCATTGCAAAACATGAAAACCTGACTTGTTTTCCATGTTTAGTGGCACCTGTTGAAAACTAAATAAAACTGCTTTTCCTTTTGCAATCCTCAACTTGTGGCTGGATTATTAAATATGTTACTGATGTGTTTGGTGTAGTCTGAAGTGAGAGTAGTAATCCTAGCTACAACAAAGGATGTTTGCCAGAATCCTTGTGCTGATGATAAATGATGTTTGAGACTGTACATGTTTAGGGCATCAGGTATTTGAGGGAAGTGTTGTAAGTGCTGTGAGTGTTACCTCTGTGGCAACTGCTCCTCTCCCCCAGTGCAGGCACAAGTATTAGCACACCATCAGAGCCCTGTTTTAATTAGTGAGGGTTGTGCTTCATGCAGGGGCTGCTGTTGGTTCACAGACAGCAGCAGGAAGAGCCTGGGGCGCTGCCAACCGTGAGCTGCCCTGAGTAAAGGCTTTTGCATCCTAGATTGTTGAATTCTGGTGCTGAATTATTGCAAGCTCAGACAGGCTGGGTTGAGTTGCCTGTGCTGTAGGAGGGGGGCTCAGGTGGGGGTGCCCCTCTGGGGAGCTGCTGCTTCAGAGGGGATGGGGGTGCTCATGCAGGGTGCTCTGGCAAACTGTCCTCGGCCTTGAACTTGAACGGCAGGGTCAGAGCAGCCTGCACATGCTCATATACTATTTTTTGATATTAAGTAACTGAAAGGCATTTCACATGACTTGAATTCCCTGTTTATAGTAGTAGAAGTAGGCACCACTAAAGGAATGAGCCAGGGGATGCTGCAGGAAACGTGCATGTGTAAAATAGAATGGTTTAGAATAAGGATTCTGCTCTGGCTGAAGTTTAAAAGCTCAGTTTCACTTAACTCAGCTACTGCACTGTACCAGCAGTCAGACCTTTGCTCAGCTCCTTAACTAAAAATTTTCAACTTTAAGCTGTTTTGTTTTTTTTTTTTTGGGTAGGCTACAGTAATGGAGGAACTTCAAAGGCAGATTTTTATATTGGCATTTGAGAGAAAAACATGGCACTGCTTTATTATGACCTTTTATCAGACTAAGTTTGACAGCAGTTTTTAAAGACAAAATTATCACTGAAGAATGTGTTGACAGTATAACATTAGACTGCAGATGAGTTTCTGTTGATTTGAAATTTGTGTAATGAACATTAAGCAAGGCATTACAAGTTGTCTATTCTTAAGGGGATAAATATTTATTTATAACCTAAGGTATCTTTCTTACACAAAATAACATATAATCATTTATACAGGCAATTCTCTATTCTGGAATAAGGCTGTTGTTACATTCTTCTGTTTGAAAAAAATCACTGTTATCTTCTTTAGGTGGCATATGCAGGTTTATATTCTAGAACTTACCATTGCAGCTTCCAAGTAATGAATGCCAAAGATTCTGAGCTATTACTTATTCTGATTCACTAGAGTATCCAAACTATCTCCAGTATTTTCACAATTCCTACTACACAAAAGGCATACTGTAAAATCAAGCCCAAGTGCTCAAACACTAGCCCAAAGCAATTACCTCATGAGAAACTACAGGTTTAAAAAACATCAGAGCTCCATTCCAGTATGTGTCTATTGTACAGTAATTACATTTAAATAAATTTTTAGGACAAGTTGAGATAGTAATTGTCATTGCTGAAACGGGGTGTGGATGAGGAGGAAGCAGCTGTGTCTGATCCTTGTGTTCATCGGATAATCGGTGCTGATCTGTCATTTGTAACTGTGGGTCTGAGTTTCACTGTTGCAAAGGGGTTTTCTCCACTGAAAAGAAATGCATCAAGTTACTTGAAGGCTTTCTGCAATCCAACCCCAAATTTATTCATCAGGTCCTTCACTGTCAAACAGTAAGTTATGGTTCTGAGACTCAGGGATTCTGTGCAACTCTTAGTTTAACTTGAATTTTTAAAATGAGGTTACATATGAAGAATCACTTTTCAGTGAGCCAGAAATATGGGAAGTTAATGCCCAGTTACATCTGGACTTTTTAAATAGCTCCCAGTCTTCAAAGATTTTTGCTTTTAACCCTCAAAATTAGTTAAAGAAGGATTTTAAGTCCTGCTTCCTGTCAAGCTATTGGAGAAATCTGTTTTTCTGAGAAGGGCCTGTGTATTGTGCTGCACTTGTTGCCACCCTTGAGGAAAGTCTAACTAATTTTAGCCATATTGTTCTAGCAGCGACTGGGAAAGGTCACAGAGAAATTAATGATAAACATCCTTATTTCCCCTTATAATCAATAAAATAAAATAAAATAAGCCAATATAAAAACACAACAAAATCAGTGTATAACTATTTTACCTTAGAAAAGGTGGTTTTATAATGCCATTCATGTCAGGTTTCTGTAAAACAAAAAAAAAATTCACATGAATTTGTAGAAATATGCTACAGGTGATCTTGCTGTCCTGCTAAGGGAAAGAGACCCTGTAATTAACCTGTATGGCCAGTTTGGTCTTAATACTTCAAATTTCAGTGCTGAAGCAAAGCCTGCCAGGCTTCCCATTCCAGACACGCTGTGTTTCAGGGCCTTATTCAGCAAGTTCTTAACTCATGCTTGGCTTGACTCCAATGAAATTGCTCAAATACATCAGGTGTAGATAGATCTTAGAATTAGGCCTAATTAACCCTTAAAAATTAAGAAAAATGAACATGCCTGAATTAAATCTTACTGAACACCAACCCTCCTCAAAGCTATGTCAACTATAAAGTCTTTTTTTAATAATTAATACTGTTGTGGTATTACTGCCTTGTGTAGCACAGCAGGAACAGTTTAACTGTCAAGGACCATTCCTCATCTCTCCTTCTTGAAATCCTGAGCTATTTTTTCTGTGTATTCTGAAACAAAAATAAGATGCCTTGAATCATTTCCTGCTTCTGCATAAGAGGCCTGGTGAGCAGCCTGTTTGACATGTCTGTAAATCCTGTAGGAATGTCCAAGGCAGCCCAGGATAATGTTGGGCTCATTTCCAAAGCCTATGGAGATGTGGGGCTTGGGGACTTGCACGGAAGCAGGAAAGACAAGGAAGTTCTGCAAGAATGAAAATAAACAGTGACTTTGGAACGAAACACTTGCAAGTGCAGCAGCTCTCCTCCAGAGTTGTCCTAAGATGGGGTCACAGCAGCTGCTCTGAGTTGGGAGGTGCCTCAACAAAAGTGATCATTGTTCTGTACTCCAGAAGTTCTAGTTTATTTTAGTTTTTCTTTCCCTGTAGAAATTTAGATTATCAAAAAAAGATGTATTTGTTTTCCACTCCTAGGAGCTATTAGTTTCCATTCTGGCTTCCAAAGAGATTGTACAGCTCTAATTAAAGCTCTGCCAACTGGCTGATCTGCCATTTCTCTTGAGTTTCTGGTTCAACAGGAATGTTAGTCCACAAGCCTTAAATTTATTCCTAAACCCCCTGACCTAATGCCACAAACCAAAACAGCCCTTAAGGCGTCTGTTCCTGAGAATGGAGTGCTCCCATGGAGAGCAGAACAGGGCAGGGATCCTGAGACCATTTCACACATGCTGTAATTCTTTAAGCTCTTTAGTCAGTCACCTGCTCCCAGGCACAGAACTCTCCCTGCTGGACTGGCAGCTCCCAAGGGTTTGGACACAATCACATTTGAAGGCCGTGTGGATCCTGCAGGCTTCAACAGCAACACAGGCTGAGGGAGCCACCAGAAATTCTGACATTACACCATTGCTAATGCCCATGGCTTCCTCATTCAAAAATGAAAACCACAAATTTGTCAAAATACAGATGCTGATCTTCAGAATCATTTTAGAAGTTCCCAAATATTTGTTTTGAAAGTAACTGAACACTGAGATTTAGATATTTCTTGATAGTCATTTTATGGAGCAGCAAAGCTTCATTCCTCACAGAAACACTGTCCCAGAAACATCACTGCACAAACTACACACTTCTACCCCACAATGTTCATTACTGAGAAATGAACCCACTTACTTGAATGTAGATTCAAATATATATGCTAATATTAAACTGTTCTGTCTCCCCCAAAAGTACAAATCTTTTCTGTAGGAATATTTATATTGGGAAAAAAAAAAAGGGTATCCCAAAACATGACTCATACTGAAATGGAGTAAGATCTCTGAGAGGAGCTTCACAAATCTCCAACAACAACTTTCATACTTTCTTTCACACTTTTTATATTTGTAAAGTGAGGTAACCTGTTCTTTTAAGAACTAGACACAAGTCTGTGATTTGATTACAAAAGTGACTGTGAAGGCCACTTCAATATCTACTCTAGGATTCACCAGATTACTTAGAAAGCAAAAACATCTGTCAGCAGGTCAACCTAAAAATTTGTTTGGATCCTAGACTGAGAGACAAAAAATTTTAGTCAATAAATAATACCATTTTTTAGCTGGCAGCCAATTGTATTATTCTTTGATTCCTGAAGTTTCCCATGGAACTGACTAATGGAACTTCGCATCTTACTTTGGTACAGTGTCTCATATTTTAGCAATGCTAACCTTATTTTATTTAATTTGATTTTTTTGCCTTCAAAATGTGATCTCTGCTTCAAGAGGCTTTTTGGAGAAAGTCTCAAAACATCACCCTTACATACACATCAGCAAAATACTTAAACAAGCAGCAAGAAAGAAGCTTGTAATTGCCTAATTTGATTAGTCTTCATTTTGAATCAGTTTGAATGCTGCCTAAACAGCAGAAATAACAGCATTGTTATACATTATCAGGTCATAAAAAAATGTATTTTCACTTAGCTGCAGCTTTGCTGAAAACAGCCAGGAGTTGGTACAGCTCTCCCCTGGCAATAGCTGCAAACACAGAATTTACACAGAGTTTTTTCTGCTGTAAGCCCCTGTGTCCCACAGCCCTAACATCACTGGAGGTGATGGATCTGTACTGCTTTCTGTGAGAATTTCTTTTCATGTTGAACAGATTCCATGGCTGAGAAGTTTTGCTGTGCAGGGTAAATCTCCTGCTCCTGTCAGTGATATCCCTGATCAATTCTTCTCCCTTCCTGTTAGGATGGATGGACTGAAATGCCAAAACCCCTGATATTCTGCAGATAGATGGGTCAGAGGGCTGAGGTCCAGCACAGGTAGGTGAGGTGGGA